GTTGGTGAGTTTGATTCGTATCTGTATATATAAAGCCGCTGGTCCCTTTTAGGGTCACAGCTTCACCAAAAAAATTTGAACAAAAATGCCCAAGACAAAAAAAATTAAAAGCAAACCAAAATAATGCAGGGTATTTGAGAAAAAAAAAATAATGCAGGATATTTTTGTCATATAAACAGTATTTTGTATATATATTAATATGTTTTGTACAGTTTTTTATTTTTTATTTTTAATAATTAGTACCTCAGAATAGGCTAGTAATAATGTGATTCAATCAGTTGTTTGTTAAATATTATTATTTTTTTAACACGTTCAAAACATTTTAAGAGGTGCGTAGTGCCAGTTATAAAAAAGATCTTTCACACACGCATAATAATGTGATTTAATTAGTTGTCAAATGATGTTTTTTTTAACAACGTTATTATCTACACTAAGGGAAATGAGGGTGGGTTTAATCTCATAGTGGGCTACCAATAATGTGATTCAATCAGTTGTTTATTAAATATTATTTTCTCTATTTTTAAACACGTTCAAAACATATTAAGAGAAACGTAATGCCGATTATAAAAGAAGGTATTTAGCACACGCATAATAATGTGATTCAATCAATTGTTTATTAAATATTATTTTCTCTATTTTTAAACATGTTCAAAACATCTTAAGAGATGCGTACCATCAGTAATAAAAAAAGCATTTCACAAGTGCACAATAATGTGATTCAGTCAGTTGTTCATTAAATATTATTCTCTATTTTTAAACACTTAAGAGGCGTGTAGTGTCAGTTATAAAAAAGACATTTTGCACGTGCATAATAATGTGATTCAATTAGTTGTCAAATGATCGTTAATTTTGTTTTTTTTTTTTTTTTTGAACAAACGATGTTATATACATTAAAAGGGAGGGAGTTAGTTTAACCTCACAATGGGCTAACAATAATGTGATTCAATCAGTTGTTTATTAAATGTTATTTTCTCTATTTTTAATTTAAATTCAATATAATATAGATGAAAATTGAAAGACTGATTTTATTATCTGGATTCACCTGTTTTGATTGGTTTATAAGGAGTTTCTTCTAGCATGGTCTCATATTATTCATTTGGTCAAAATATTTGACTTTCTTTTTGTCATAAAAAAACCTATTGAAGCAATTCACACATATAAATGCATTTAAAATGCATAAGTCGCACGTAATACGACGTGATTCAAAAAATGTTATTTGCACGCGCTAACGCATGCATGAAGGCTAGTAGATTAGAATGTGAGAACACGGGCTTTTAACACCCATTCAAGTGCACACATGAATGATTTTAAGTTTTAATCACTTGAGTTACTAACTAAAATATTGGAGAACTACACTTGATTAAAAATTTCAATAAAAAAAATCTAGAAATTGAGCTGGAATTAGGGGTCGGTTAAAAAAATCGAAAATCGAAAATCGAAATAAAAAACCTGAACCAAAACCAAAAAAAAAAACCTAACCAAATTAAACAAAACTGAACCGAACCAAAATGTTTTGGTTTGGTTTCGATTTTAGTGGTTCAAAAACTGAACCAAACCGAACTTTTATTTATGTTGAATATTTATATTTTAAGCCCAATTTCAAGTCAATTATGAATATAGTTTTAGTCCCAAATACGTTGAAAACTTCAAGCCAAATAAAAATCCCAGAACCAGCTTGGTGGTTGTGGAGTTAGCACAAACCCAATCCAATCCGACGGCAGAGACAGAAAGGAAGAGGGATCGAGAGCTCAGAAACTAAACGGTATTTTAGAATACCTCATTTTGTTGAAGGATTATATATGCATGTTTCCTTGGTGGATCATATCACACTCACCATCTCAATGAACACCTGTATCTAGGGCTGGTTTGGTATAGGATATCAAACCGAAACTAATATCCCGAATCCCAAATTGAAATTTTTCGGGATGAAAATTAGAAGACCAATTCTAAATCAAATTTTCGGGAATTCCAAAATATTTTTGGGATATCAGGACAAATCGAGAATCCCAAATTGAAATATGAAATTACGAATTGTTCTGCAAATATATTTTACTATCAAACTAACGCCATCATATTTCGCTGATTGCAGATAATTGGATAAGTATAAATTTCTCCATTTCTAGGTTTAATTGGATCAAAATTCTAGCATTCCAACAGCACGTAATTGCTTCAAAGCCATTAGATGGCAACCCTAATTCTCTGCTTGGTTGCCGAGACAAACAACTTCTCTGGAAGATTTCTCAAAATTCAGAGAAATTAAAATTAAAATACAAGTAGGTGAAATAATCGATTCCCTAATTCCCCTAAAACCCCAACAATGAAATTAAACAAAACTAAAATTTCAACAAGAACGAAAAGAGAGAGAGAGGGGTAACAGAAATGGAGGTAGGGAAAAAAACTGGGACTAGGGAAGGGATGAGAAGTTGAGAGAGAGAGAAGCTGTCATGCCCCAATCCCGACATACGTCCAGAATTGACACGTGACGTCACAAAAAATCCGTATCTATCATATCCCACCTCCGGGATATGGGCAAGCACAACTCACTAATCGAATCACATAGTTATTTTTCGTATGCTTTATGGTTGCATCTAACCTCCCCGTTAGACTGCCTACGTACCCTAAACAGGGATCAAGCCATTCGTAGTTCATCAAGCACAATAGTTGACATACAACACAGTCCGATTAAGTCGATAGGTATAACATTTCTCAATCAATCAATAGAACTTGAAAAGCATGAAAATACTAGACTCAGGGTTACATAACAAACCCATCTACAAATCATGATTTCCCCTCCATCAATATATAGACCATTATGTCACAACATGATACTGCAATTCACAACATATATCATTTCAAAGAACCAACGATGTACAATACCATTCTCGAGCCACATTTATCAACAAGTCTAATCATAACAATAACAATGACATCCAACATAACAATCCCACATGACAATTAACATTTCCACTTCAACCATCACATAATCAATAACACATACAACAAGTCGAACGCAAGGCTAGAGCAACACAATTCAGTTGAAGACTACATCTTTGGAAAAGGGGATTTTGGATCACCCAACGGACCAAGGCTCCAAAGGGGATTCCGGACCATCACTCAACGGAATCCAAACAGAACTCAGTTCCAAACCACCCAACCGAATTGAACGGAAGTCCAAGAAGCATAACAACGGCTCGAAGGAACAAGACATGATTCAAGTTACCCAATTCCCAAAAACTCAACGAAACGAAACAATATCGAGCAACAAATCCACATCACAATGGGTCATCGATCATTTACTAGACCTCACATCTCCCAAGCAATTCAATATGCGTTTCAATCACATGTCACAACCATTTCCAATACACAAGTCAAATCACATTTCACTTCATCATACTAATCACTATACTTCCAACATTATATCTCAATACATAGCTTGTAACATATCAAGGAATCATGAAGTACAATATTAATATTTAATTACGTTAATCAATCAGTAAGATAACATATCATTTCACGAATTTAATTAAAGAACTCTACATAATTCCCAATTTGGGTTAAGAATAATAACCTGGTAATTCTAATTTATTTTCACAATATCTATTGTGGGTAATTCCCATCTACTCGAATTTAGGATTCTAAGATCACCTTACGGAATGAACAAGAACAAGGATTCCGGACCACTCACGGAATCCAATAACATTGGGTTCCGGACCACTCAACGGAACCAAAATATCAAGCGGTTTCTCATAATCTACCCAGACCTATCATATGTAAAGTCAATGCCAATATTATGGAATTGGTTCACTGGCAAATCAGGCACTCAGATAAGCTGAAAGGCTCGGGCGAGGGACAATAAAATAAGCATGTGATACAATAATAAAACCAGCCATCAATCATAATTTATAAACCTTGAATATAAATCTTTCATAGGAAATCAATACCAAACTTTTGAAAACTCCGAGGGAGCCACCCAGACATCCAAAAGTTCATTTCAAACGACCATAACTGACACGCCCCGACCCCGATATTCCCCGAATACCAGGATAGGCACGTGCTGGGCGACACCCGAAGGTGACGAAAGCCATTTATTGAGTGCAAATGCTGAAAACAAGGGATAAATAAGGGTTATAAATATAAAAGAATAATGAATATGCAAATAAGGACCGTGTTCAGAGCACACCACTAATCTAGAACACTAAAAGAAAATAATATAAAATTGAATGAAACAAAGAAGTGGGTCCTACACCGAGAGGACTCGAAGATGCCGATGCGGAAGTGCCTGGACGTCGGGATTGTATGCCTCGATTCTAAGTCCTGAAGGGGGCGCAAAACAAACATGAGTGGACCAAGTTGATATATATATAATAAAACAGTTATCAACATACTAACCCCCAGGTTTTATGAAAACACATATATATAATGATAAACATAGGTTTTCCGAAACCTAGCATGTCGTGCAATGTCTCAAATCATAATTCGCATAAATAATAAACACTAGTGAATGTCCGATATAACACTTCAGGCCCCATGCCGGCTCCCCGTCTCTGAGCACACAGTCAGAGGAAAATACACTTCAGGCCCCTTGCCGGCTCCCCGTCTCTGAGCAGACAGTCAGAGGAAAACACACTCCAGGCCCTATGCCAACACCAAACCGTCGCCCGGGACGGACCGGATCTATCCCTACGTCCCGTAGCGGAAAGGACCACTAGGTAAGTACAAAACCAGTGAACATACATATATTGAAAATCAACTTCATAGTATAAAGTCATCCATCATCTATACTATAAAGAGGTGTTCTAAACATGTTCTAAATATCATATCGTCATCCATCAGATATTCTACCAGAACATGGGTTATAGGAAAAATAGTAATAATTCAAACTAGCCTCAGTAAGCATGTTATCTCGTAAAACGTTTCATAAAACATAATCATCAAATCATGCTTTTCATGTATGCAGTTCTACTATTAAAACATGCATTTTTAGAAGGGGTCCACTCACAGTACTTCGCCGTCGAAAAGCCACGTCATCTAGCGAAGAAGGAAACGCCATCGATAATTGCCCCTAAGCACATAAAGGGTACATTTAGTCAAACTCTACTCAAACGATCGAATTTGGGAAAACGGACATCGGAAACGGATTCAGGACGTCGAAATTAGCCTAGGAGAGGTCCCGCACGAAAACCCAAAAAGTCAACGGTCAAAGTCAACCTTGACCGTTGACCAGTCAAAGTCAACGTTGACCGTTGACCGGGTCAACGGTCAACGGGTCGCGGTCAACGGGTCGCGGGTCACGGGTCAGGGTCATGGGTCACGGGTCAGGGTCAGGGTCACGGGTCATGGGTTTTGGGTTAGGGTTTTGGGCTAACAGGCCCTAAGGCCTTAAATATGAAAAAGGGAAATGGGTTTTGGGCTGCAACCAAGGCCCTAAGGCCTTTTGGGTTTTTAAAAGAAATAAACTAAAAATAAAAACTGAAAGGGTTGGGCTTTTGGGCTAAAACCCGAAATGGCCTAAGGCCCGTGAGGAAACAGACATGGCCCGAAGGCCTGGGTGCCCGGAGAAGAACACCGGAGCTTCCATAGCTCCGGCCAACTTCAAACACTCGACCTAGACCCCGATCTAGGTACCAAAATGAAGCACTAGAGGAGAGGAGTAAGTTTATACCTTGGGTTAGCCGTGTAACGGCTTGTGGTGGCCGGAAAATCCCTCGGAAACCACACACACTCGCCGGAAAATTTGGGTGCCTTCACCCGTGCCAAAGCACTCCAAAACCTTGGAAATCAAGAACCCAAACTCAAAAACCACATTTAACCAACATCTAACAAGACTAAAAAGGAAGAAACCATGCTTACCCAACCGGAAAACAAGCTAAATTCGCCGGAGGTGCTCGTACCCTCTTGGCGCCGTGAGCAAGGGAGAGAGAGAGAGAGAGAGAGAGCTAAGGTTTGATGATGATGATGATGGTGGCTATGTCCTCAAGCAGGTGCAACAATGGGTGTGTGTGAGTGTGTGTGTGTCACGGGTAGAAGAAGAAGAAGAAGAGGAATGAGAGTTTTCGAAAAGAAAGGAAAAAGGTGCAGACAACAAAAGAAAAGAAGGAAAAGAAGAAAAAAGAAAAAGAAGAAAGAAGAAAGAAGAGAGGAGGGACACGGCAGGGGGGGACAAAACAGGGGATGGGCCCCTTGGGCTCACCAAATAAGGTTCAAAAACAATTTTAAAAAGGAAGGTATCCCCAAACTTAGTGAAAATACAAAAATACCCATTTTCTTCCGTAAATTCCGGGACGGGTTGTTACAATCTACCCCCCTTAAAAGAATTTCGTCCCGAAATTTAAAATCACAACTTAAACCGAAATACTCGAAAATAGGAAGAAGAATATATGTATAAAGAGAATTCAAGTCAGAGTGGGTGCATCAAAGAGAATATGCCACACCGTCGCGAGCGGGTTGCCAAATCCTCTATCATGCCTCCAAGCTCTTACTTTCTTCCCCATCAGTGTAAAAGTAGAAACATACTTTAATAAGATATAAAGTTGAAAACATATATAGACGTAAGTTCAAAAATAAGTACGAAAAATACTATAGTGTCAAAATAGTCAAAATAGATATGTACTAACATATAGGTCAAAAATTCGTGTTGAACTTAAAACTGAAAACGAGAATACCTCCCCCAAAACATTTTAATGACAAAATAAATAATTAAAGAAAAGGAAGTTAAAATACTTACTGAAAATCAAAACTGAACTCAAAACTGAAAAAAAATGAGAGTGGGTCTCGCCTAAGCATACTAACGTCACGTACTCCGAGAAAAGATGCGTTTCTAGGTCAAGTCCTAACAATAACAAATCTGTACCAACTGCTGAAGACGAATCTTCCTGCCCACTTGCTTAACGAATCCAACAAATAAGTTTTCAATACCACAGTCGGCCGCCCGTGATATCGATCACACATTTGTTGTCTTGATAAGCAAGTAGTAATTTGATGAGGGTGCACAATTTCACGCGTCGTAATTTCAACCTTTTGAATACTAGTTCACAATACTCCTCTGCTAACTAGTATTACCTGTAAAACTCTCGTACCATGTCGCAAAAATGGCGTACTCAAACCGAACAAAATAGAAACTGTCGTCATAAAACTCTATCCAGTATCAAGCATACTTTCCTCCTCAATTCTTCCAAATGTGACCAACTACTCCAGTGTTTTGCCAACAAAGAACCCATTTGAAAACTGTACCTCGGGATTCAAAGGAAGTGGCTACCATGTTACTAGTAGACCCAAAAGCTCAAGCCAAGCAAGCAGAAAACAAAAAGTCACCTTTCCCAACAAGCAGTATCTCTTGGGAATCATTGTAGTGCTCAAACCACCTCTCCGATTTTGCTTAGTTGCAGATTTCTAGTAAAACAAGGTCAACGTTGATGGAAAGAAGGACTCTCAAGAGATCAACCTAAAAACAAAAGAGAATACACACCTTTCAAGAAAAGTGTAAAGATTTTCCAATTCTCGCCTCGACCACGCTGGGGTGCCAACCCAGAGTACACTAAACAGATCTGCTAGAAGTGTTTCAATAACCACGTACTCACAACAACAGAGTCTTGAAGCGAAATAATGAAAAGATGAGTTGAGATGGCACATAACATTGGAAAAGAACCGATGTGACGCCTATGAATTATAGTAAGATGGTGATACAATCCGCTGACCTTCTGTACTCAAACCTTCATCTAACTCTTACTAAAAGATCACATAAACATCACGCTCACGTGCTCACGAACCGAAGGATCCTGGTGGCAAGGTAGTGGAAAACTACGTTGAGGCGAACACATCACATCATCGAAAAGGTCTGCCAAAGTACGATATCATGGTTATGAATTGCAGCAAGATAATGAGTGGTGTCCATTCAATTCAGCGTGAAGATAATGATGCAATCTGCTGCTCACCTGCACCACAATCTTCACCAACCTCCTACCACAAGACGACTCCAACCTCACACCCACATGAAACTCTTTCTGGTAAGTAGGATAAGCTTATGAAAAGATTAGGCTCCCAACATTTCTGTCTGAAATGATAAGAATTGGGCACAAACTTCCACCGAATTGATCGATCGTGAATTCTTCACTGATTGAGCGAGAAACCATGTAAAGAAGGCTAAAAGAACACTCAAGAATTTGAGGATCAAAACAAGTTTATTAAAACTAGAGTACAAGATATCTGGATGAGAAACAAACCAACGAAGGAAGGTAAAGATGCAGAAATAGAAATCACTGTTTATGATTATTTGGTTAATCAACACGGTAAGGTCGACTGGTTCCTTAGCCAAAAAGGAAATAGGTATAGGCTCAAGAAATAGTCAAGAACTGTTAATAAGATTGGACGAGGCCAAAGACACTTTGAAATTCACAATACGTTGTAAGCTGCTTCAAAGTTCAAAAATTAAACATAGAACCTCTGAACCAACAGAATGACGAAGAAGAAAGATACAAAGCAGTCTGTGTAAGCATACAGTGACACGATTGGCTACCTCAAAGTGATGCTCTTGGGCAAACCAAAGCTCAATGAGTCCAGAGAAGTTCAAAGTAAAGCTCGATCTTCGTACAATGATGAATATGGTTGTCTCAAGCCATTACATTGAAAAGTTACAAAGCTGAACAATTAATGGATAAAAGCACTGGTCAGTTGGGCTACACGCAAGAGGCTAAGTTCACCTCCACCGAAAAGTATGTGGACAAGGTGCAAGGATTTACCGCCTAGTGCCAAACCCAGGTGAAGTTCAAGAAGTCTGTTTATCCAAACAAGTATGGATCTTCATCAACCAAAACCAACTACAACAAGAATAATCGCAACTGCTTTTGGAAATTGGTAAGAATAGCGTCTGCTACTGAAGAGTCACTTAAGAAATTATCTAATTTAAATGAAGTCAACGCCCGAAGAATTTGGTATAGAGCTAACGGTCAATGGTTAAGGAACTTGACTTCGTCGTTGAGTAAGCAAGGAGGTTACTGATAGAACAATCATCGAAGATTCATTCTACCGATTCCCACGAGTTTCTTCAGTGGTAATGAGCCTGAGAACATTGATTTGCTCTCGCCAACTACAACTTACTAATCGTCGTCACCACTAGCGCTTACTTGCTTTCTCAAACACGCACTTCGAATATTTCAAGTAATTGCCACTGCAATATGACTCTGCCCTCCATTTCTAGGGAACGCATGTCGCAGAGTGATGTCATCGTTTCAAGGTTCTAGTTGATCTCAACCAACTCGTACCGTCAAGATTTTTCCACTTCTCGAGATTTCGATGTAGAGCCGACTCTGCCCGCAATTCCTAGGGAACGCATGTTGCAGAGTGGCATCGTCATTTCGTATCTACAGCTGATCTCGACCAGACTCCCACAAACTGAGATTTCTAGAACACGTCACTTCCAAGTAACACTAACTGTGCCCGCCATTCCCTGAGAATGCACGTCGTAAAGTACAAAACCGCTTCACATCTTCCAAATTCAACTCACTTAGCGCTTTTTCCGTTTCCCAACGCACCTAGGTAAAACCACTTATGTTCGAAATTCCTAGGGAATGCACGATGTAGAGTATCGATCCGATGTCAAAAGTCATCCAACCATCCACTTTATCACTACTGAGGCATAATCCCGACACGAATTCTTGTATTCCAACCAGAAGATGACAATTCAAACAAAGAAAGATTCGAACAACTACGCCGAATGACACCAAATCCAGAAGTCGTGACATCCAAATGATGTCATGACAGACACACTACTCCAGTAACAGAAAGTCCTAAGTATGCTCTGAACAAAACTAGGCTCTGATACCAATGTGACACGCCCCGACCCCGATATTCCCCGAATACCAGGATAGGCACGTGCTGGGCGACACCCGAAGGTGACGAAAGCCATTTATTGAGTGCAAATGCTGAAAACAAGGGATAAATAAGGGTTATAAATATAAAAGAATAATGAATATGCAAATAAGGACCGTGTTCAGAGCACACCACTAATCTAGAACACTAAAAGAAAATAATATAAAATTGAATGAAACAAAGAAGTGGGTCCTACACCGAGAGGACTCGAAGATGCCGATGCGGAAGTGCCTGGACGTCGGGATTGTATGCCTCGATTCTAAGTCCTGAAGGGGGCGCAAAACAAACATGAGTGGACCAAGTTGATATATATATAATAAAACAGTTATCAACATACTAACCCCCAGGTTTTATGAAAACACATATATATAATGATAAACATAGGTTTTCCGAAACCTAGCATGTCGTGCAATGTCTCAAATCATAATTCGCATAAATAATAAACACTAGTGAATGTCCGATATAACACTTCAGGCCCCATGCCGGCTCCCCGTCTCTGAGCACACAGTCAGAGGAAAATACACTTCAGGTCCCTTGCCGGCTCCCCGTCTCTGAGCAGACAGTCAGAGGAAAACACACTCCAGGCCCTATGCCAACACCAAACCGTCGCCCGGGACGGACCGGATCTATCCCTACGTCCCGTAGCGGAAAGGACCACTAGGTAAGTACAAAACCAGTGAACATACATATATTGAAAATCAACTTCATAGTATAAAGTCATCCATCATCTATACTATAAAGAGGTGTTCTAAACATGTTCTAAATATCATATCGTCATCCATCAGATATTCTACCAGAACATGGGTTATAGGAAAAATAGTAATAATTCAAACTAGCCTCAGTAAGCATGTTATCTCGTAAAACGTTTCATAAAACATAATCATCAAATCATGCTTTTCATGTATGCAGTTCTACTATTAAAACATGCATTTTTAGAAGGGGTCCACTCACAGTACTTCGCCGTCGAAAAGCCACGTCATCTAGCGAAGAAGGAAACGCCATCGATAATTGCCCCTAAGCACATAAAGGGTACATTTAGTCAAACTCTACTCAAACGATCGAATTTGGGAAAACGGACATCGGAAACGGATTCAGGACGTCGAAATTAGCCTAGGAGAGGTCCCGCACGAAAACCCAAAAAGTCAACGGTCAAAGTCAACCTTGACCGTTGACCAGTCAAAGTCAACGTTGACCGTTGACCGGGTCAACGGTCAACGGGTCGCGGTCAACGGGTCGCGGGTCACGGGTCAGGGTCATGGGTCACGGGTCAGGGTCAGGGTCACGGGTCACGGGTCAGGGTCAGGGTCACGGGTCATGGGTTTTGGGTTAGGGTTTTGGGCTAACAGGCCCTAAGGCCTTAAATATGAAAAAGGGAAATGGGTTTTGGGCTGCAACCAAGGCCCTAAGGCCTTTTGGGTTTTTAAAAGAAATAAACTAAAAATAAAAACTGAAAGGGTTGGGCTTTTGGGCTAAAACCCGAAATGGCCTAAGGCCCGTGAGGAAACAGACATGGCCCGAAGGCCTGGGTGCCCGGAGAAGAACACCGGAGCTTCCATAGCTCCGGCCAACTTCAAACACTCGACCTAGACCCCGATCTAGGTACCAAAATGAAGCACTAGAGGAGAGGAGTAAGTTTATACCTTGGGTTAGCCGTGTAACGGCTTGTGGTGGCCGGAAAATCCCTCGGAAACCACACACACTCGCCGGAAAATTTGGGTGCCTTCACCCGTGCCAAAGCACTCCAAAACCTTGGAAATCAAGAACCCAAACTCAAAAACCACATTTAACCAACATCTAACAAGACTAAAAAGGAAGAAACCATGCTTACCCAACCGGAAAACAAGCTAAATTCGCCGGAGGTGCTCGTACCCTCTTGGCGCCGTGAGCAAGGGAGAGAGAGAGAGAGAGAGAGAGCTAAGGTTTGATGATGATGATGATGGTGGCTATGTCCTCAAGCAGGTGCAACAATGGGTGTGTGTGAGTGTGTGTGTGTCACGGGTAGAAGAAGAAGAAGAAGAGGAATGAGAGTTTTCGAAAAGAAAGGAAAAAGGTGCAGACAACAAAAGAAAAGAAGGAAAAGAAGAAAAAAGAAAAAGAAGAAAGAAGAAAGAAGAGAGGAGGGACACGGCAGGGGGGACAAAACAGGGGGTGGGCCCCTTGGGCTCACCAAATAAGGTTCGAAAACAATTTTAAAAAGGAAGGTATCCCCAAACTTAGTGAAAATACAAAAATACCCATTTTCTTCCGTAAATTCCGGGACGGGTTGTTACAATAACATCTCACACCCATATTCACATACACACAATGAAAGTAGAATTAGAGCGACACAGTTCATCCAAAGCTTGCACCTTTGCAACCATCTCAAACTAAACTCAATGAACTAAGGTGGATACAATCCCAGACCATCACTCAACGGGATCACGGAGGAAGAGGGATTCCGGACCATCACTCAACGGAACCCAACCTATGATACGATTCCTGACCATCACTCAACGGAATCGCGGAGTACATTGCATAACCACCAATCAAAGAAACAACACATGAATCAAGTTGCTCAAGTTATAAAGGCTCAATGAAACAAGAAATGAAATAATGAAACGAGCATTGACACATGTTTCAAAGCAACAAACCCCATGACAATGGGTTAACGGTCCACCACTATCCCTTACCTCATCAAATCAAGCCAATCATACAAAACAAACCATATTTCCAATATGCACGTCAAATCCCATTTCATATAACTATATCATTGGCTAAAAATGAAACTTAACAAATTATAGGAAAAAAAAATGATTATAAAACCATTTCATATTCACATATACTAAAGTCACTCACATTTCATCATATCATACCATTTATGTAAATCAACCACCCTTCGAATATGCACGTCAATTCACATATCTCGATCATCATCAGTACACAAGCCAAATCATGTTTGATAACATAGGTCTATGGCTAAATGTATATAGATAATCACATTTCAATAGAATCACATTATAAGACCAAGTCAAATTCACAGATGATACCAATAAGAAATCAAGGTAATAACCAAATCACATATGTTCAAGTCACTCTCTAACCAATGTAGGCCCACTAGACTTCACTTAAGTCTCCCATAGTACTAAATTTATTATTTAGAACGTTTCGAGACATGTTGACCATAATTCAACTCTCGGTCAACGAAGGGGTCCACAACAATCCACAACTCAGATTTATGATCCATAACTTCCCAAAGTCCACACTATGCTTCGAGAATAACATACTAAGGTTCCATTATACTCCAATGGTCGGATTGTCGTCAGTCACACAAACAAGTGGCGGTCCAAATTGATCACCACACCCAACAATTGAATCTTTGGAAACCAAGCTAGACATAGGTTCACATGGTCACTAGAAGGTATTTAAAACCTAGATAACACTCGTGAACGATCCCACACACCGCCACATGCGGTGGAAGTCAAGATGGAAGGTTTAGAAACCCCGAATTTCAACATTAACTAGATGAGCTCAAATTAACGTGGTAGCTAGAGCTCAACAAGGGAAACACTTTTCACAACTAGGCCGACGATAAATTCTAACCGGAAACCGTCCAATTCCACCGGAGAAAACCGGATTTCTAGAGTTCTAAACACCCAACTCTAAAATGAATACGAAAGCACAAACTAAGCATACCTACTTGAAGATTATGAAGAGTAGATGAAGTTTCATACCTCACTCGAAGGAAAACGTTGCCGGAATCGCCGGAAAAATGATAAAACCGCCGGAAAAGTCGTGGACTTTGCGACCTAGAGCTGCAAAGATGGAAAAGAAATGGGGAAATCTAAAATCACAGAGATGTAGGGCTCGCCAAGAGCTTTCCATGGACACCAAGATCATCCAAAACGGAGCTCGGATGAAAAAGATACAAGCGGGTCAAGTTTGGTGGGTTTATGGGCCAATTTCTTCCTAAAAACGGGTTAGGCAGCTCCCCCCCCCTCCCCCCATTTTTCCGAAAAAAAAAAACTCTCTTTTTTTCTGGAGGTTTCCCTCCCATTTAATTTATAGCAATTTGGTAATATTACCAAAATGCCACCAACTTCAAACGACTCTAACTTTTCCGTTCGACTCGGAAATAAGATCTGTTAACGCCTACACGCTCATGGAATCGATCTCTACCTAACCAATTCAAGAGTTGACCGAAAAGGTCGAGAAAATTAGAAACGACTAAAGTAACCCTCACTTCGTTTTTTCTCAAATTTGGAGAAATAAAGAACTAGTTCCAATCAAATCTTCGAAATACGTCAAGAATAAAATAAAATAATAATTTTAGGGACGGGATATCACAGAAGTGCCAAAGAGAGTGGTGGTTGTGGTTCAGTGTGGTGAAGGAAGGCTCGAGCCACTCCACAGCAGTGGCCGAACCCACCCCTCACTGGAATGATTCTAAATAGACAATAAAAGCACACCAAAACATAAACGATGTGATGCTAGATCAAGTAGTCATGTGCAATGTAATATTATTTTTAAATAAATTAATTTTGCTTACATGTAGACTGTAGCATTATCACCTTACTCTAATCATATTCAGATAAGAGCAATAAAGTTTATGGACCTTATTACTGATGAACTCATGAAAAATGGGGTAGCTACTAGCTTTCTAGTGTGAGGACATGATCAATGGTTTCTAGCACCCAAAGCTTTACTTCCGAAATAGAAATCCTCCATTATTTTACAACTTCAATTCAGAATCCACACACTATCTCTTCCAGTATCCTGTGATCTTGGTCTTGAAAGAAATTCGGCAACCTTGATCGATCCCAAGTAGACTATCTCGACGTGGATTGAGGCACGCCTGAGCTTAAGCAACTCTTTTAAAAGTTTTGAAGAACCCTTGCTAGAAGCAGGCTCGAGTCATCTTCTCGAGCACAATTGAACTTAAAAGCAAAAATATGATGAAATCTAGTTCAATCTTGGAACCATAAATGTTGGTTATTTTCATAAGTCGCAGCTGGCTAAATTGGTAGTTCTGGTAGTCATCTAACCAAGAAATCCTTTCTTGCACATCAGTCTCGTCAACACAAACCTGCAAAGTAACGTTGGTTTCAAATTTTAAATACAACATAAGAAATTAAAGACGAGGATGCCAAATCATGACAACCATTCTGTTTTATTGTCTGTTTTAGTTAGTCAATTATAGTGTGCCATGTGTACAAAGTTAATTTGATCTGTTATAAAGAATATTGTAAATAGCTGTGGCTATATATATGACAATTGATGTAATTATCCTATCATTCAATGAAAAGGAATATTCAGAAAATAATGTGTTCTTAGTTTTCTATATGGTTTCATCACCAACCGCCTCACGGCCTCTCTCGGTCCCTCTTTCCTCCGCTCTGCTTCTCTGATTTATGTACAATTTGATCAATTTCTTCGTTGATTCCTATACTCCGATCATCGATCTTAGACTGTATTTTTTATCTCTAATGGCGTCTCCGTTTGCGTCTTCTTCCCCCTTTGAGTCGGTGCCAATTCCGAACCCTAATTCCTCTTCAAACCCTTATTCTTCTCAATCTTATACCTCTCTCACGATCCAAAACATTGGTACTATGGTGCCTATCAAGCTCAAGAGATCCAATTATTTGCCATGGTGAGCTCTCTTTGCCCCAATTCTTCGGTGATATCGGTTCTTGGCATCGTCGATGGCACAGAACCTTGTCCAGCGCCACTTTTGCCCGATCGATCTTTGAATCCAACGTTCGAAATTTGGTATCAGAAAGATCAAAACCTCTTGATTTGGTTCAATCCCACATTGTCTGAGGACGTAAGTCCATTTATTGTTGGAGTTTTGTCTTCTTGCAATCTCTGGCTCAAACTCAAGCAAAGATTTAGGGGCGTTTCTGATGCACACATTCATTAGCTTCGATTGTGACTTCAAAGTATTCAAAAAGGTTCACAATGCATGTCTGATTACCTGCAAGAACTTAAAAAGATCTCCGACTCTCTCACTGCCATTGGAGCTTCAATCTCTGATTGTGATCTAATTGCGACCACTCTTGCCGGTCTTCCTGATGATTTTGAGTCCTTCACCGATTTGATCATGCTCAGATTATCCTCTACTTCTTTGGATGAATTACATGGGTTGTTACTCACCAATGAGCTCTTTATGAATCATCGAAAGAAAACTTTGTTGAACCTTTTCATGCTTTATCTGTCCAAGCTCAACCATTTCTTCTTCTTACACTGCCTCAGGCATATGCAGTATAGAATCCACCCCTTCAGAATTCCTTTCGTTACAATTCGAATCAATGAAAGAACAACCGTTACAATACTAATTGTGGAACTAGAGGTATCTGTCGTAGAAATCATTATACCAGTGGCTTCAATCGCAACAATACCAATTCCCATTCTCGTAGTTCATCTTCTGGTCCTTGAGTTCCGTGTAAATTTGTGGCAATCCCAATCATAAAGCCCTCGACTGTTCTAATTGCATGAATCTAGAGATCTCTGGTCGTATTCCTCCTTCTTGGATAATAGACTCTGGCGCCACCTCACATATCACCAATGACATCTCAAACATCAATTCTCTCACTCCCTATACTGGTGAAGAAAAAGTATACATCGGTGACGGTAAAGATTTGTCCATTTCTCATGTTAGTTCCTCTACATTACGTACACCTGCTGCTTCTTTTAAATTGAACATCGTTTTTTAAATTGAACAACATTTTTTAAATTGAACAATGTTCCTCATGTTACTCACATGAAACACAATTTATTGTCTGCCTTTCAATTTCTCCAAGACAATTATTGTTCATTGACCCTTGATTCTGATGGATCTGTTGTTAAGGATCATTCTACAAGGAAGACGTTTTTGCGAGGCTCAGTTAAAGAAGGGTTCTATCCTCTGCAACCTATTACTACAACTGGTAATTTTGTCTCTGAGATTGTTCCTCCCTCACTTACTGCATCAGCTCTAGTTAGTATTAAAGCTCTAGTCACGATATGGTATAGTAGATTGGGTCATCCTTCTTCCCCTATATTTCGCAAGGTTATCTTTAAGAATAAACTTGT